ACGTGTATTTATTCCAGGCCACATTCTACCCTCTCCCCTCCCCCAATGAGTTGTTTTATTCTACAAAAAGTCCTATTTACTTTCAACATAGCTGCTTATCAACTAAAATCACACAGAACATGGATGAATGACAATATTTGGCTCTCATATTGAAGCCTGCCCATGAGAAATGGGGTTTAAACCCAGAGGAAGAGCTTCAGGTTTCACATACTAAATATTGCTTAATAAAAGGAGAGGCCCATATCCAAAAACGTAGCATTCCCCCAAGCCCAGGTAAGTGCACTGTGCCATAAATGAAAATGTATTGGGGCCTGCTAAGAACACTCCAAGGAACTTTACAAAAAGTCTTGTATTCTGTGGAAGAGACTGGCAGTTGGAGAAAAGCTCCCCCAGGGAAGTGTGCGCACAGGATCAACCCATTTTATCCCTGAAAATGAACAGCAGCTCATCAGTGAAAATGTTATTTTATTTAGAACCTGCAAGCTGAGACAGCAAAGACAGTTAATTTTCTCTGAAAGAATGACAAACAGCTATTGTACTCTTGGTCTCCAATTAACGTTTTTTTCTAATTTCCAAGACTTAAGACAGTTCAGATATGATTTTCTTGCCCGTTAACACATCTCATCTTCTTAGTATAGTCACAATAGGCTAATTTTAATTTTTTCAAGCAGACTAGTACTGATGGGTGCTTTGGGAAGCACATAAAATGAACCAGTTTCCCAGAAATGTGTGTTACTAATAACACAATGGTTATTAAAGCTTTCAAATTTGAGAGGTTTTTTATTTGGTCAGAGGACTTCAAATAGACCTCAAAACTGGATCTGTCTGACAATTGCCTTGGCTCGGTGCCTGGCTATTCTTCTCCATCACCAGAGGATCACTGTATAGAACAGACTGTAGGTGACTAATGTATTTTATTGCAGCCCGAAGTGTTTCTACCTTGCTGAGCCGTTTTTCTAAGTATTCCTCAGGCAGGTGATGTCTGAGCTTGGCGTATCCTTCATTGACACACTTAACCCGCTGCCTTTCCCTCTCATTCCTTTTTCTGATGAAAGCTGGTCCATATGAGTACTCTCCTCTGCCCTGATTGACATGGGGAACTTGATAAGGGAAGCTGCAGGGATCACTGTAGAAATTCTCGGAGATTAACTGCTCAGATGCAAAAGGAAGTAGTGACAAATCTTCAGAGCAAGCAACTTGGGGAGGAGTCTCAGGGTACACGTGAAATGTGACGAAGGGATCCCCACCAAAAGGCCTGGGCAATGGCACATGATGGGAGTCACCATAGATGGGTAATTTGTCCATGAAGTTACAGTAGTTTTTACTATCCAGGGGGGGTTGCATTGAACCTGGAAATGTATAACTGCATATTAATTAAGTCATACCTCGAGTTTAAGGGTTACCTGCCATCAGTAAAATGTTCCAGGAAAGACTTTTAAATGAATTTATGCTACTGTAGAATGATATGAGAGACTGTCACAATGGATGCACCATTAGACCAGCTCATGCTAGAGAAACTTACCAAAAAGTGCTAAGTAAAGACAACACAACTCTGTACACCTTCCTAAACGGAACAGCAGTCAAGCTGCTTCTTGAGCTCCAGTTTAATTGGCACGTGGAAACAGCGTCACAAACCGATCCCAGCTCAGGCTGAAATGGACAGAAATTAGTACTCATTGCTGATGTTATATAAACAAGTCTGGCATGTTAAGCAACATCCTATCCAGCCCCGTGCGCACCCCCCACTTCCCCCAAAACCATTTACATTACAGCTCAAGTAACTAGCACCCCCACTGAACATAAATGTCCACTGAAAGCTTGACAGCTTGCTCTGTTATCCTACCACCTCTTTGTTTTAATTGGTTTGAAAATTTCTTGTGCGGGGTCCTCAATCTTGTGTCTGTGAAGTGCTACGCTGGTTCTGAGAGAAATGCATTTCTTGGAGGGACCCACATTTGTTTTGAACAGTTTGCTCCCACTGACTTGCAATGATCTGAGAGTCAGCTTAGCTTCATATTAAAATGACAAAAAATGTCCAGATCATATACCCTCAGTAATGAAGTACTGTATTAGGAAGAGAGGCTTCTGCAGCTGGAGTGAATGAATATTAGGAGTATTGCAGAGATAAGCATATTCCTGGTAATCTCTTTCCAATTCATGGTGCTCCATAAATGGAGAATATTTCCACCTTCTCTCTACAAGAGGCCTAACTATAAGTACCACAGATGAACTACTCTGGATTGGGTTTTAACTGCTCAAATCACACTCAGAAGATTAAAAAGAGATTGTAAAAGCACCATCAATAGGAAGCTATACTGTACAAGGTTATCAAGGTATGTCACGAGTCCTTTAATCTCAGCATTCCAGCACTGATTATTTTTCTAACTGAAAGCCACATTTAAAAAGTTTAAAGCAGACAGTATTTTACCAGGATCTGTTTACAGGGATTCTTTGTTTACACAATCTTTGTTGATGCAGAGTCCAGCCAGAATACCATCCACTTCCACATCTACGTGCCACTCTTAAAATCAGGTTACATCATGCCGTACTAAAAGGAAAGACTACAGAAGACTTTCCTAACAGTAGTGGAAATGCCCAGTATCACCACCTATTAAGAAATACAAGAACACCAAACATTCAATATTCACAGAGGAATAGTGCAGTATCTGATGGAAGAATTTTGCCATTAATCCAACTTCTTCACCATGACTTGCAGCATCTCTAATACCTTCATACCCGCTCCACTGAGAAGAGAAGGAATTGTATGGTCGCTTGTTTGGGCCTATTTTCCCTGTGCATAAAGTTATATTTATCAAAATAGATTTGTGTTCTATATCATTTGATACAATGAATTTTACTATCTAGAGCGTCACATTTTTCACTGAGTTGAGAATCTATTTTAGCATGCTACGTTATACAAAGGGAAAGCAAGTTCTAGAACAGATGCTTTAGTATGCCAGGTGTTAGCAAAGGCAAATGCTGAACACAAATGCATGTTAAATTACAGAATAAGTTGCCTCACTACATGTGGGAAAAGATCCAAGTTGAACATGCGTATGTACTGTAAATTCAAAACAGCAGACAAGCGACAATTGCTTCCTTTGTTAATACTGGGGTGGGGGGGGAAGATAGGAAGTTTTAATTGGTTTATGTTCCACTAAAATACAAATGCCAGTAACTGTATCTGCACTGTAAAAGCCAACAAAGATATCATCAGGTACTTACAGCATTGGTTAGATGGCACTTACTACTTTTGCTACACAATTACATTATACAAACACGTTATATGCCAGGTTCACATCCAAACCAAAACATAAAATCAGAAGCAATACAGCATTTCTTGTCTGCTACAGAAGACTCACCTGTTCTGAGATGAATGGAGTGAAAACTCCAAAACAATCCACAGAAACAGAGTTTCCAATTTTGAGGCAGCTGAATATGCCTGTAAAATATCTGTTTTGCATTATAAGTTTCAAAAATAGCATTTTAATTCTTATACACAAGTAGCAGCTTATGTTTTTAATAAAAAATAGATTAAAGAAGACTGATTAAAGTACTCTTAACTACCTAGTGCCTCTCACACACATTAAATAGTCTTGAGAAATCATTTACATTAGTCAGTTGACATTTAGCCAGCCATAGCAGTATGTAATTTTCCCTATGTACTTCTTGACGTTTCTTACCTGAATGATGTACCTCTAATACTGCTGAGTTGAGTCAAAAGACTGGTGTAATTTATAGTCAACCGACAATATGCAAAGTAGCTTACAGTTAGATCTGCTCTTTTCTGGTTTAGCTTTTACCACCCACACTGTAACTATGATGGCAACAAATCTTAGAATGATAGGCTAGAAAGTTTAGATATATTAGATACAATTGAACTACCTTAAAAAGTAATCAGGAAGATGTTTTATTTATATCTCTCATCCATATGCTGCAGCAATTTGCTGTAATGAACGTCTTTTCATTTAATTAAATTTTACCTCTCACTACATAATCAGCATAAAAAAATATCTAGACCTTCATGTTTTCATTAAATACACAAATCAATATATTTGAATAAGGGGTACATGAAACTGGTATTTTCAACTAAATTGATTTTATGGTAGTGTCACAAGATCAGTTTTGTTTTGAGCAATCTTCAGTGGTCTCTTGGGTTTGCTATTTCCAGGATCTCTGCACTGGGTCGGACTCTAAACCTTCTCTGCTCCATTTGCATCACTTCAGGAGTGAGAAAGGCCCACGTTTTCTCTATGGGAATTTCCATGAGATGCAGAGCCTGGGTGTGCTGGACCAAGGAAGACATTGACAGGGCACAAGGCAATAGCAACACACATTCTGCAGCCGTCTTATCAGTAACCATAGCTTTTAAAAGTGGGACTCTGCTACATATTAAAGCTGCCCAATGAGTTTGTGAAGTTTGTATCCAGTATTAAAAGCACATTCTAACTTGAATCCAATGTATATTAAGTTAACTCATTTGATAAATCTCCATTTTCATCTGCATTAAAATGAGCATTTTTATTTAGGACTAACTGGATTTCCTATTGATCAGCTCATTTTCTTAATAATTTTCAAGCACAACCTAAAATTACTGACTGTGAATCTGCAGTGCTGAAAGAGTTGCACTTTCTCTTCCTGGGGAGACCCATCCAAGATTTAGAACATAGACTTGCTTGCTGCTACCTTTACATCAGAAAGAAGGCTAGTATATGTGGAATTCAAAACATTTCAAGACCTTTGTTGTAAGGACCACCATTTCCCTCCCTTCAAGGCTTCTTTGGAGAAGACATGTAAGGAGTAAGGCTGCTGGTAGGGCAGCCGTCTGAAATGGTACAGAACAAATGACGGTGAAGCAAAGAATTGCAACATTATATTTCCTCTATGGAGGATGAGGGCATTGTTGCCCCTGTTGATTTGGGAGTCATGAGTTTGGGTGCTGAGAAAAGCAATAGTAACTAAAGCTTGGTTTCTCACTCTGCTGGCTCACTGGCTCTCAATCTTCTACTAGCAAGTGATTTTTTTTTTTTACTACAGGTAAAAGCACACGATAACCCTACTGGTACTGAAAGAGTTCTGGATTTCATGAAATGGGTGCAGTGACTGTACTGAGAAGTGAGTGAAGTCCTTGATCTGCACAGAAATATGGCAGTGCAAGGATGGTTGTGGCTCAGCTGCAATATCCATCTGCACCTGGATTCAGGGAAGCAGCAGGGGTTTGTTCTCCTCTGTTCTGCTGCTGTAAGCGCAAACAAGAGCACCCAGCAGAACTAAGCATGGATATTTTGCTATTTTTCCTACTGGAAGTTGGACTGTAGCTAACTTATTTTAGCTTTTATTGCACACAGAGCAGTGACAAGACTTCCCATCAAAATGGGAATAACTTGCAGGTACTACTACCAACACTGGATATGAATTCAATTAGAAGTAATCTGTACTCAATTGCCAGTCCTGAGTCATGCTTTCCCCAACTGAAACATTGAACATTAATACATATAATCTGATGTACCTAGCAAAACGGTTTAAAAAATGTAAAGTATTTCTCCCTTCTTGCCATCCAAGAAATTATGAAATACAGCAACAGCAAGTAGGCTTTTCAAAATCAGCACAATCATTTTTAATTGTTACATTCCAAAGAGGATATATGAAAGTTAATAACCTGTATACACCTCTCAGAGGGATGAGTACAGAACCACAGTTAAAAAAAAGTACAGCTAGTCCCAAGATGACAGGCGCTAGTTAAAGGTATGTGCATTAGACCATCACTGGAGACAAATGCAAAAGGTTTTTTTCCTTGTGGTTGTTGTAAAATAAATACTTTATCATATACTAACTCCTGAGACTTTACTCATGAAGAGACGGGAAAAGATTTTTGGTAAGATACCATACACAACGCATTAAATGATCAAATCAAGCGAGTAAAATGCCAAACTGGCTTAATGTGCACTGCATTAGAATTTATCTACATCACAGTACTTTAAGTCTGCAGCTCATCAACAGTCACTGTCCATTTAAGCTTCCTCAAAGAATCAGTGCACAAATCAAGTGATGAATACCACCCACTAATCTTAAAAATGAAAACTACACCACAAGATTTAGGTTCCTAATACACAGCTCTAAGTAACCAGGAGAAACCCCAAGTATATTTACAAAAGTCTGTGTAAAGTGATTAGCGAGTTGTAACCAAACTCTTGTGACCAAGTATATTCCCTGTTACTTCTTAAATCACAGAAGCAGAAGTGAGAAATATATATTTAAAAACCATCTTAAAGTCATAATGATAAATAAAGTATCAGAGTTACATCCAAAGATACCTTTGATTTTGTTTTTTTAGTTCTGTTAGCAAAAGCCATCTGAAAACAAAGAATTATTAGCTTTGGGCTAATTACAACTGTTTATTTTTTAATAGCTTCCACTCTGGTACATTCTTGCAAAAGGTTCAAATGCTTTTTTGCCAACAATAACAAACCAGTTAAAGAACCTTTCAGAAGTGGTAGGAGCAGGAAGACATAAGTCAGATAGTTCCATTAGTCCATTTTGCTTTCTTCCAGTCATCAGTTAACTCAACTTGATATCAGTTAACTCAACACAACATGGCGGTCAAAGACAGATTTGCGTTGCTCTTGGACCTGCAACTTCCAACGCTGCTGAGCATACTCCACTTTGTTCAACACGTTGGCACGACTCCGAGAACGAGCCAGCACAGCATGAGCGTTGGCAAAAGGTTGATGATCCTAAAGTTGCAGAAGGTAACATTTACATTTCTGTGATTTTAACCATGTAAATACATTATCCTGGACAAAAGGAAGACACACTACGCTTTACAACCTTTAAAAAAAGACAGGAACTTCAGCACTTTACGGAAATTAACTGCTATGAGTTTTCTTTAGAGGAGCCAAATTTAGTGTGCATGTTCTTTAAGGGGAGGTCTCATACCAGCAGCAACTCATGCAACACATAATGGTAATATAGGGTCTGATGTTACACCATGGCTGTCATTGGAAGCTTAGCCACCAAGTCCCATGGAAGAAGAACCAGGCCTTCTGTGGGCAAGAGAGTATGTCTTAGTACCATGTGCTAAGTGTTACATTTACTTCAGGAGCAATTTGAATCAGAAGCCTGGGTGACCAAGATACAGGGATTCTCCCATCAGTTTTCTTGAGTGGACTTCAATTTAAAAATGGAAAATGGAGGAGCCCATGTCAGTATACTACCAGCTTTCAACTGGTTACTGTAAAGCAGTTTGAGATGTTCACACAAAGATGCTAAGTAAAAACCAGCACCCTTTGATATTTACTAAACCAACTCCATTGTGCTCAGCCATCTAAAAAACAGAGGGTA